GAGATCATTTGGGGTCATCCTAGAAGCTACCTACCACAGGCACCTGGTACAGAATAAGTACTAATACATGCTAATTTTTGTTATTTATGGCATTTATAGACCAACAAGGAGTTGTTGAACTGTAACAAGGAAAGGGAAATAGAAGACACTATGAGAGCACAGAACCTAGGCTGAAGTTTCAAGCAAGGAAACTTGAGTTTCCTTGAGTAGGTGATATTTAAGCTAATATGCAAAGGATGAGTTAGGAATTCATTAGGCAAAAATGAGGGAAAAGACCACTCAGGCAGTTGGAATAGCAAGTACGAAGACCTTAAGGCAGGAAAGGGAATGTAGTATATTTGAAGCACTTAGAGAGGACTGGTTTTGCATTAAGAGATTGCAGAGGTAGACAGGGACCGGGTGGCTGAAATGAACTGTAAGCTAGAGAAGGATATGGGACTTTATCCTGAGGAAATGGAAAGCTGTTGAATTTTCTTCAGGGGAGTTTCATGATCAGATCTGGAAAGATCACTTTGGCTACACTGTGTGGGGGATGGGTTGGAAGGAAGCAAGAGTGGACATAGGAAGACCATTTAGGAGGATTTTGCAATGGTCTAGGTGAGAGGTGTTGATGGCTTGGACCAGAATGGTAGCAGTGGGAGATAAATTACAGATATGTTATAACAGGGCATAGTGATCAATCAGATGTGGAGATGGGAGTGCAGGGTGGTGAGGAAGAGGAAAATGATGATCCCAGTTTTACCCTTTGAGGAACTGGATGAGGGATTGCTTGTTTACTACCAAAGGGAATATTGTAAGAGAAACATATTTTGGGGGGAATGGATGACTTTGGTCTTGGAAATAATGAGTTTAAGGGGCCTGTGAGAGATCCAAGAATGTATGAGCTCATCTGACAGATACAATTTTGAGGATAGAAGAGTCTAGGACAGCTCTGAAGCACTTTAATCTTCAAGAGTTGGGTAGAAGATCTTCCACTAGGAAAGGAGAATAAGAAGAAACAACGAGAGCAATTGGAGAAAACCCAAAACCAATGGGAAAAGGGCATTTTTAGTAGGAGTGATTGGTCAACTGTGTGGAATACTTCTGAAAGGTCAAGCACTGGCAAATGTCCAAAAAAAAACTAGTGACTCAGGGTTACTTATGACATTGGCAAAAGCACTTCAGTAGAAGGGCAAACAGGGAAGCCTGGTTGGACGGAGTTGAGCAGAAAATGGGAAGCAACAAGATAGAGGCAGCAGGTGTAGAGATATACAATACATCCAAGAACTTTGTCTGTGAAGAACTAGGGGGAAATATGGCATTAACTGGAGGGGAATATGGACTAAATTGAAAGTTTTGTTTGTTGTATTTGTTTTTTAAATAGGAGAGTTTGTGTACCCTTAAATGGTGGGGGAAATTGGCCAGCAGATGTGGAGAAGTTGGGTACAGGAGAGTAGGGAGAACTGATAGAGCAGGGTTCCTGAACAGGTGGTAGTGCCTGTAATCCAAAGCACTAGTGGAGGGGCTGGGTTTAGAAGGAGGGCTGTTCCATTTTAATAAGGCAAAGAAGGAAAGTTTGGAGACATCTTCCAGGTAGATTTGGTGTTGGAACATTGAGTGCATTCTGATGGAATGGCTTCTATTGCCTTTTTCACAAACTTTTCCCTTCAGATGTTGAGTAGCCAAGCATTCTGAGTCCTTGCTACTCAAAGTGTGGCCCTTGGACCAGCAACATCAGCATTACCTGTGAGAAAGGCAGAAGCTTGGGCCCCACCACACACCTACCTTATCAGAATCAATATTTAACAAGGTCCCCAGGTAATTCCTGCATACACTGAAGTGTGAGGAGCAGCATTCTAAATGACTTCTTCTTGGTAGTAGGAATTGAGAACCAGCTGAATCATCAGAGCTATCATCTACAGCAGATAGCTATACCTTGGGACCCTTGAGTTATTGTCCAACTATTCTTTCAGCTATAAAAGCTTTTTAAAAACACACTTGTTTTTTCTAGAGAATCCCTGTGAATTGCCATAGACAATTAAAATAAGAGCAAAATATCACAATACTTTCCATCTTTGTATTTTACTGTATTGTATTATTTTTTTTCATTCAACAAATATTTATTGAGTACCTACTATATGCTAGACATTGTCTTGGTTCTGGGATTACTGTAATAAACAAGAAAAAGTCCCTGCCTTCAGGACCTTGTTTCCTTCCTTACTCAGCTCGGTTTTATGGTTTGCCATTATAAAACTTTTTGGCACAACCCTCAACTCTCTTGTCCTAAATTCATCTTATTCATCTTATTCAATATTCATTCATTCATTCATTCATTTACTTATTCAGCTAATAAGTAATTATTCATCATCTACTATGTGGCAGGCACTGTTGTAGGCATTTGGGATTCATCAGTGATCAAAACAGGTAAAGATCCCTGTCCTCACGGAGCTTACATTTGAGATGGGTCTGTGGCAGAGGGTAGGGGCAGGTTGGTGAAGGGGAGATGGGCACTAACAGTGGAAACAAATAAATTACCCACCTTGTAAAATCCTTTCTCCAGTTAAATCCAACTCTCTGGCTTCTCTGCAGCTGAACTTGGCTTAAGAAAAATATACAAGCATGCTGACAGGTCTCAGACCATCTGTGGCCGTTGATCTCTAGTGGCATCCTCCATTCTACCCTGCCTGGCAATCCTAGCCCACATTCTCCTGCACTCCTCTAGACAATCTGATACCTTCTCCTTTCTCAAACCACCAATACCACCTACTCTATGCCAGTCTTTGCTGATAACTTACCTAATTATTTTCAATCACCTTCTAAAACTCTAAATTCTGCTAAGGCTATACTCCCCAAATGCCAGAGCGTTCTTTCTAAAATGCCAATCCCATCATGGTACTCCTTTTTCAAAAAGAAACTTCAATGAGTAGGCCCCCACTGCTTTAAGGATGAAGCTACAAATTTGTGTTTTTTTCAAGATTCGCCCTGAGCTAACATCTGTGGCCAATCTTCCTCTCTCTCTCTTTTTTTTTTTTAATCTCCCCAAAGCCCCAGTACATAGTTCTATATTCTACGTGTAAATCCTTCTAGTTCTTCTACATGAGCCACCACCACAGCATAGTCAATGAGAGACGAGTGGTGTGGTTCGTGCCTGGGAACTGAACCTGGGTCGCTGAAGCAGAGCACGTTGAACTTTAACCACTAGGCCATCAGGGCTGGCTCTCAAATGTCTTAATATACACTACAGCCTACTGTCCAGGCTCCTTTTCCACCGTGTTCCATGCTCCCTATATTTCCAGCATTTCAACCATAGTAGTCGTTGAATGTTTGCGTATGGTAGCTACTCTGTAAATGTTTTTTTAAGTGAAGTGTCCCTTAGATCTCCATTTTTGCCATTTAATTTCCCACTTGTGTTCATACTGCTACCTCAAATGACGTTCTGTTGAAGAGTATCTCAGTGTTGTTCCGTAGAACTGAAATTAATAGTCTTGAATCCATGAAGACCACAGTATTGGATCCAACAGCTACTTCTTGAAGGACCTTTTCATAATCATACAATCATTACCATAAATATGAAATAAGACTGACTTTTATCATGGTAAGAATAGAGTTGAATGCTCTATTCAGGGAGGTGGAAACAAGATGAGTCATTTGCGAGTGCTCCTCTGTTAGCTTTATGTAAACCACAGAATAAAGAACTTTGATTTATTTCTGACACATTCTGAGCTGGAGCTCTATGGGTGAAAACAAACAATTTTTTTAAAAAATCAAAATAGTTTCCCTTGCAAAAAGCTGACTATAACTCAAGTAGAATAGTAACTAAGATGCTATCCAATGAGTTGAGAGGTGTCAGGAGAACTAGAGGCCAATACATATAGAATCACCGAGTCTTAGAGGTGGAAAGATATCAGAGATGATCCAGGGCAGCACCCAGCCAGAGCGTGGGTCCCTTCAATGTCACATCAGTCCTGTAGCTTCTTTTACTTCCATCCTTCTAATCAGAGGGAACTGGATCCTTGTCACCATTAGAACCTGTTTTCATCATTAGAACCCAATTGTTATCAGAGTTTTCCTTCCTTAGTTTTAATTTATTTCCCTGGAATTTCTACCCAATGAGTAGAATTTTTTTGTAGCCTAATTTTTGACATCTTAGGCCACAAAAATATTAACTGGATCCCTTTGCTGCACAACAGCCTTCAAAACACTTGCACTCAGGAACCTCGTCTCTCCTAAGTCCACCTTTCTTCAGGTGGTCCCAATGTGCACAGCTTCTGAAGTTCCCTTGACTCCAGCTGCCTCCTTCAGGATGCAGAGCAATTTCTCAGTGTGGCAAGGTGACAACGCAATGCTGAACACATCATCTGACTAATGACGAATAATTAGAACATTTATTTTCCATGATCCATTTTTCTATTATTGCAGCCTAATATCATGTTAACTTTTTTAGCAGCCATTTCACACTCTTGGTGTCTATTAAATGTTTATGGTAGTTATAATCCTCTGAATTTTTTTTTCACATGAAGTGTTACCAAAGTAGATATTTCCCAACCTGAATGTGCACTAGAGTGTGTGCTATTCTCAGACCTCCTATGGACCACTGGGTAATCAAGGACTGGCAGTGAACCTCACTCTATTGAACTCTGTGATGATGACTCTAATGATGCTGGTGCCACATGTGAGGTACCATAGAAAGCACCTTGTCCTCCTAAACACGTGTTCCTCTTCTAAAGAACAGTCTATTTATAAACTCAATCTTTTCAAAAGACCTGAGGTGACCAGGCTGTGTACCTTTCTAGAAGCTAATTTTTCTCCACAACCTTCCCTTCTTCTTACCAAGTACATACAGTTGAATCCTTGCTTCCAACAATTAAATACCCACCTAATTAATTTTCTTTCCTCACACCCAGGTTGATTGAGCTCTTGACTCTTTTTAAACAACTGGGCAGGTCAAGTAACCCAACCCCTCTTCACCAACCAGGGCCCCGCCCTCTGCCCTGGGGTGGCCTGGAGTTGAAGGCCAAAGAGGGAGAGGAGGGCTCACACTGCTGCTCTGGGCAGGCGAGAGAGCGCAGGCTTGGCCACCTCATCCAGTGTGACGGCAAAGGGTCGCTCTAAAAATTGCTGCCGCTGGGACTTGTCAGGTGGCTGCTGGTGGCTCCCCACCGGATTTTCCTTCTCCCTTTCTCTCCCCACAGATCGCTTCCCAAGAGGAGTCTGCTGCTGAAACTTCATCATCACAAGTCGGGGACACCACTTCACGCAGGAGGGTAAGGAGCTGAGGCCACTCTCTGATTCCTGTCTGCTAGATTCTGGGGTGTGTAGGGGTGTGTGGGTGGGAGAGGGTGAGGGTGTCTGAGTGTGAGTGGTTGTGGAGCTGTTTCACTGACGGCAGTCTACAGCTGGGTCACATTGCTCGTGTCCCTGATCCAAAATTGGGAGCCAGAAACCATTTTCTTGAAATCTAAGGAATGTGATAGAATAGGAGAATGTCATAATAATAGAAATGCAGCAGAGGGATGCCTTCAAAAAGTAAAATTACTTGTAATTTCTATAATAGTTTTAAGTCTCAAAGGCCTCCTCTATTTTATAGCGAAGGGAGGGAAAAATAAAATTCTTGGGTTTTGCTCACAAAGTTTAGAATTCCATCTTCATTTTTATCAGGAACCATGTAAACATTTGGTACCTGAGCAGTTCAGATACAGTATAATCAGTTTTAACTAAATTAGTAGCACCAAAATCAGACAACTCTTTGAATTGCCAGAAATATAAATAGAAATTCCCCCTGCAAAAAGAACAAATTTTTAATTTAACTATAGAACAAGTTTTTGTTCTAAATGGGCACATATGGCTACGAGGACATACGTTTTATATCAGAAATCATGTTGGAAATGAGACAGTAAAGTGGAAAACCCCCCTTGGTTGGACCTAACTTAAAATGGCAAGCAGCAGGAGCTGGAGTGTTTCTATTCTGGGAGCCGGGGCTGATGAGCGGGGACAGATGCAGTGACTGGAATGTGGCAGGGCAGGGGGAAGGCGCAGCTGACTCGCCCCTTTGGCAAGAAGACCTTCTGGGATCCCAGCTCATTCTGGCATGAGAGTGACAGTGACACTTTAGCACATGTGGCTTTTCAGCTTGCCCTGTGTGGGATCTCTCCCAGGAAGCAAGGGTGGAGGGCAGCAGGAAAGAGAATGTTCTTAAATATGAAGTGACAATTGTTTTCTAGAATCGGTTCTAGGAGCTTTTCACCTGAGACCTGTTTCAGGCCAGGAGGAACTTGATTTAAGTGTGATGCTGTCACACGGACGGGCCCACTCATAGAAGAGGGTAGAATGATGTTACCATTTCTTGGCAGCATCATTCTCAGTCCAATGGTTCTGGGTCTATTTTGGGTTATGGATCTTTTTGAGAACATCCTGAAAGCTCTAGGCCCACTCTATAGAAAAATACACATCAATACACATGCACAACATATTTCGTAACATTCTAGAAAATTTCATGGAATTCATGGACTCACTTGAAACCCAACCCAGAGCAGAGTTGCCAGATAAAATACAGCATACCGAGCTACATCTGAATTTCAGACAAACCATAAACCAGTTTTTACTATAAGTATGTCCCAAATATTGCCTGGGATATACTTACACTAAAATATGATTTATGATTTTTCTGAAATTCAAACTTAACTGGACATCTTGTACTTTTATTTGCTAAACCTGACACCCAGACCATGACTCCCAGGTGAAGCATGCCCTGTCTCAGTTGGTTTACCTGTATCTGATAATGAGTTGATTCTAGGGTTCTAAAAGGCCATATTGAGCAGAGGACCAGACTTTAACAATTCTGACAGCAAAAGCCAGCTATTTATTCTTAACTCTCTGTAAAATTTTAGAACTGAAAGGTACACATCTCCTCATTTGACAGGTGATTAAACTGAAATCCTAAAAGGCTGGATGTTTTGACACAGGTCTATCAGATAGTTAAGAGCAAAAGGAACACCAAAACTAATTTTCAGTTCTATGACAATGAAGTGGCTATTAGTCTGAAACTAGATTTCCAACCCCTCTCCTGCCATACCCCACCTCTAACACAGACACACACAAAAGACTAGGAAAGAGAAAGAGATATTTTTCTAAAATTTTCAACAGAACCAAAACCAACAATTTTAGCACTAGGTCCTTGCGTCCTGTTTCTAGTCTTGGAGAACAGAATTATAGTTAACTTTATGTACAGTTTCTGTATACTTTAGAGATAAAACCCAGGCACAGGCCTCTGGCTAAGTTGAACCATAGGAAATTGATATTTGTTTTTAAACAAAAATCGATAATTTCATATTCAATCTAATGAGTCAAAGGAAGTGCTTGATTCTCTGATCAACAAATTCATGCAAGACCTCCTTGAATCTATTTCTATTTTTTTGTTTATCCAGCCTATTGGAGTTTTATAGCCTTACTACTCCTAATGGAATAAAAACATTCCCAGGCTCTCTTTGTCCCCAAATTTATTTTACATTCAAAAGGGTAACTCTCTTATTTCAGTGTTTGGAGCTATAAAGAACCATTTCATGTTCTCCATATCCAAATTTTGATTTTTTAAACCTCAGCTCTACCTCCCTCAGTCTCTATCTTCTCATACTAGAAAGAGCTAACTTTTTAACCCGCTATAGATTTTAACCTCCCCTGGATGGAAGGGAGGTAGTCTGGGGGTCAGGACTCCATCTGGGTTTGAACCTTTGCTCCCTTACACATTGCATACTGTGTGACCTTGGATAAGTTTTTTAAACTCTCTCTGAACCTTAAGTTCTTCATTTGTAAAATGAACATAACATAACCTACCTTTTAGGATTTCAGTGATGCTTAAATTTAAAAAAATAAAATCATGTAAAGTACTTACCCTGGGGCTCAGCACACAATAAGTCCTCAATTAATAAATGCTAGCTATATAATTATTATTTTAGGTAGAAATGGAGGTAACGATTTACATTTAATACATAATATAGACTCATGCTTGGTGATTTATATTTAGGAATTAAGTATTAATGTACTTAAATTTGGCAAATACAAAAGATGATGAAAAATGTGATGGCTCACATAACTGCCCAGCTGTTTATCAGGTGTTGAATACATGACACTATCATCATAGAAACGGCACGAGAGCCAAGATTTGCAGTGGGCAGCGGGAGGAGAGCGTGGAATTGCGTCTCTGGTACCCTTCTGCCCAGTTTCTATGGACAGCTCTTCCAGAAGACCCAAGAGGCTGGGTGATAGCACTGGAGCAGAGAGGGAAGGAGGTTGTGGTGTCCATGACCAGAGAAGGAGAATTCTCCGGGTTCCCTCCACAGAATGAAGGGGTAGCTCCGTTAGCATAGGGAACCTTCTACAACCCTCTGCACCCTGTGCAAAGTCTCTTCTTTCACCCAAAAAGGGAAGGGACAGGCAGGGACTGGCAGTGCCTCCAAATAGCTGCTTGTCCCATTACACAACCTCAGCTGCTGTGGCTGGACCTGCGCTTCCCTGTGTGTCCTAGGATGGTAGGGGCCATGTGAATAGCGCAAGCCACTAACAGTCCCCCAGGGCCTGTAAAGCCCTTCGTCTCTTTGATTCCAAGGGGACAACTCACTAGAGGCCCCCCAGAGTAAGGAGGGAGAATCATACCTGTTGTACTTTAAGAAAAATGAAGAAACAGTCTTGTAACTCTCCCAGCCGAGGGCAGCTCAGCAAGGCTGTGCTCCTGACCGTGCAGACCAGAATCCCAGTCAAAGCCCTCCCGCAGGGATGGTAACCATGGTGACTGCCCCAGCTACCAAGTTTAGGGAGTCCCTGAGCAGCTGGCCACAGGACACTCACTCCGTTAAAGAAAAAAGAAAAAGAAAAAAAGCTTTAAAAAACAACAACGATAAGTAAAACCATCATCCAACACTGAGTTAATATATAATTGAATCAATAAGAATGGAATGCTTTCAAAATTTATTACACAACATCTAGGTTATCCTCTAGATTATATATGAACATATACATCCAATGCATTTTTGTAACCTCTTTCTCTTCGTTTTTTTTTTTGTGTGTGTGTGAGGAAGATCAGCCCTGTGCTAACATCTGCCAATCCTCCTCTTTGTTTGCTGAGGAAGACTGGCCCTGGGCTAACATCTGTGCCCATCTTCCTCCACTTTATATGGGATGCCATGACAGCATGGCTTGCCAAGCGGTGCATCGCTGTGCACCCGGGATCCGAACCAGCGAACCCCGGGCTGCCGCAGTAGAGCGCGTGCACTTAACCGCTTGCACCACCGGGCCGGCCCCATCCTCTTCCTCTTCTTAGCAGCCACATTTTGACTGTCATTGTGATCATGCTTGGTGATCACTTACAATATGACCTAGGGGTGCATAGTGAACATGTGTATAATTTCAGAAAAAACAGTGCGAGTTCCTGTGCAAATTGCTTTTGACTACATGTTCACATATGACCTAGCGAATGAGTAGGACATTTTTGTAAATATTCAGTTCTTTTCTAATCACCCTCTATTAGCCCATACAGTCAGCCTCGGAGCCCAGCACCATGACCAAATGAGTAAACAGAAGTGAATTAAACTGTTCCACGTTCCTTTCACACATCTTCTCCTTAGGCTGTCCTTTTATAACTTCTTTCCTTTAAATCTGCCCTTGCTCTTCATTTAAATGTGATTGTGGAAAAACGCTGGTCGGTCAAGTGGCGTGGTGAGTGTGTGTGTGTACCCAGTGTGGCATGCCTTATGTCTGTACTCCCCAGAAAGGCCCCAGTGTGAGGGACCTGAAGAGCTTGTCAAAGGCTTCCCCACCTGCCTGGTGAGAACAGAGCCTCTTGGGTTTTGTCTTCCCACAAGGAGAAAGATAGTCTTCTCTGCAGTGGGGCCCGGAGCGCATGATGGAGCTGCCCCTAGCCTTCTTACTGGCCTGCAGTCCTCCTTAAATTGAGAAAAGCAGTCACTGGAGCCCCAAGTGGGTTGATCAGAGACGGAGGAGCAGGGCCAGTGGAAGAGAATTCAGCAGGACAGAGGAGCCAATGAACACCTCTGCAGCCTACAGGACAACATCAGAGCTTTGCCCAGCTTCAGAGGAGTGACCCTGACCCTCAGACTCCTCTGAGGGGTCTGCGGGGTCCTTATTGGAGGAACATGGCACAGACTGAGAACACCTGGGCAGGTGGATGGACAGCCTCACCTCTGAGGTGCAGACCTAGGAATAGGATGTAGTGGCAGCTCTAGTAAAGAAAGACTAAATTTATGAACATATG